GGGCGGGGGCAGTTTGGGGGACAGTGGCCGGTAGGGGACCGGGTCCGGGGTTAGTTTGGGGCTCGGGCTGGGCATGACTTTTGCCAGCGTGTCCCTGCATCCACTGGCACCGCCCACCCACCTTAGGTGATGCTCCTGGGCTGTATGGGAGATATGGGGTGTTTGTTGTGTTGGGTGTGGGTTCCTAGTAATATTGGGGCTCGGGCTGGGCATGACTTTTGCCAGCGTGTCCCTGCATCCACTGGCACCGCCCACCCACCTTAGGTGATGCTCCTGGGCTGTATGGGAGATATGGGGTGTTTGTTGTGTTGGGTGTGGGTTCCTAGTAATAAGGGATCTTCCGGAATAGGGCTTATTTTCCGGAGAGTCGCGTCTACCCTGGCGCTTTTCTCCGGCAAAAACCCCGAGCCGGAAAAAAGCTGTAGCCATGTAAATGCAAATGCCGTTGGGGATATTTAAATCCCCCGCAGATTTGCAATTCCGAAGTGTCTCATTAGCATCCCTTTTCCGGAAAGGGATGCCAATGTAGACACAGTCCTGCTGTTTAAAGAAAGTGCTATCAGTAAAGGAGAGACACTGAATGTAGCGTGTGGCATTTATTTTCTGTTCCATTGCAAATTTGGAAACTTCTAGATAGCTAATCCTACATAGTAAAGATTGAGGAGATAGTCTCTCTTTTAGGGAGCGATCTATTACTGAAACAACAGTCAAAGGATTGTGTGAGCAGTGGAGAACCACACTAAAGGCCAGTCTCTCTTTGGGAAATCTTGTTCTCTCTTTACCTCGTTTTTATTTTTCATGGTGCAAACTGGGGAATGTTGGTAGCTGCCCGTATGCCTTGAAGGGTTCTCTATCATCCATCTCATTGGTCTCCTCTCTATTTCCATTGTAGGTGGCTTGCTAGCTGTGGTGTTCCAGCCACATTCTGAATATGGCAACCCAGGATTGTGTCTCTTCCGAAGATGGCTGTTTGTGCACTTCTTTAGGATTACCTTTTCCAGGACTGAGTGACTCTGATGAGCTGAGCAGATCCTATCCCTGGACCATCAAGTGTAGAAAAAGTGGGCTTTCCAGGCTCTGCCAGAGTAAAACTTCTTTGTCTGGTGATTACCACTCAACACTCTGAGTCTGGCAATGTGAATATACCAATCAAGATGTCTGTTCTTTCCAATGCCTTGAAACTTCCCCCATAAATTAAGAATGACACAGTTAAAGAAGCAATTTAAAAAAATAAAAAGAGAATGTGTTCAGAAAGTTGTAGCAAGGCGGGGTGAGGAGGAGGTTGAACCTAGAACAGAAATGGGGATGGGGAAGGAATTTGACTACTACTAAACCCAGAATAATGGTTTACGTACCCTACGCCTACCCCAGTACTGCCTGCCCCTGAAAGCTGCTTGTTCTTTGTGGAGTGAAGTTACTTTATAGGTGACACTATGATATTTCCTGAAGTACCTCTCTTTTGACATAGCACTTTTGAGAATTTCAGCATCGTCACTTGGCAAGATGTGCCCTACAGATTCTGTTTGGTTTTAGTCATAAGTATAGGTGGGCGATCAGTGCTTCCTCACCAGTTCCAGTGCTGCTGTGGATATAAGCAGCAAATAAACTAGTTTCTGACTACATAAATAATTAATGGGGCACTGTGTATGTATAATAATAATAGCTTTGTTTATTAAAACAGATATTTTAAAAAATCATAATTTGCTCTTTTCTCAGCATGGCCAAAAGAAAATAGACTTCTGAGGTAGTGCATGAAAACTAGTAACATGGCATTTTTCCAGACTTTGAGTCATAGGTGCTGGAATACGTATATCTGAGTGAAACAACTGTTCTTATTAACATTAAAAACATTGAACACATTTCTAATAATATACTTTGAAAATCTTTCTTTAAATCCATAAACCTTACATTTTAAGACTAAACTACTTGATACTTTCTTTAATTGGTGAAAAAGCTTCAGAGCAGTAGCTGTGTTAGTCTGTAATAGAAAAAACTTAAAAAACAATGAATAGTCCTGCAGCACCTTAGAGACTAACAAAAAATGTAGCTGGTATCATGAGCTTTGAAGAAGTGGGTTGTGCCCATGAAAGCTCATGATACCATCCACATTTTTTGTTGGTCTTTAAGGCACTGCAGGACTATTCATTGTTTTTTAAATTTTGTTCTTTAATTAGTGGTTGATCTTGACCTGAAAATTGTCTCCCTACTAAATGTTTTTTTTTAACAGACTCCTTTAGCTACAGAGATGTTCATCTTTTTCTCCTTTTTCTAGAGGATGGATGGACTTCCTATTGCTTATCTTCACTGGCTGCTCACACCATTTGTTCTGGCAAACTTGGTAACTCTTGGGCTCATTTGGACCTTTCCTCCTTATCCCATTCCATCAGTAGCACCTCTTCGTTTTCCTTCTTGAATGTCTTGAATGTAGAGGAATCCCTCCAGTCGCTCCCAGCTGCTGTGCGCAACCCAAATCAAGCCATCTTCACCGTGGATGTCAGGACAACAGAGGTACCAGCTATACCAGGGTTGTAGCAGGACCACTCTCTAAAAACAAGTGTTGTATAGTTTTGTTATGAGCCATGTAGCTTTATGTAGATTCAGACTTGTGTAATTTTTACTTGTCTTAAAATATGTGAGATTTATGTATCCCAAATATAGCTTATAATTGGCAAAATACACACAAGACAAGATCAGCCACAACACTGATCTTCTGAGCCTTTTTCAATTGGAGTAGGGGAAAATAAAACTTTAGGGCAAACTTTAATACAAATTGTAACATGGAGTTCCCTGCACTTAGTGCTGTATTCGTTTTAGCTTATGGCCAGAGTATCTAGATGGCAGTTTAGGCTTTCCACATGCAGACACTGAGTGTCTAAAATGCTCTTTGTGGTGCAAAGAACCTAAGACACCGTGTGGTTAATGAACCTTTTGAAGGTCTGGAGCAAATAATTTTATTTAAAACAAAAAAGACTGCTGAGTGGGAAGCAACAATTGCAGCTGCAGTATGCTGAACTGTGGTTTGAAAAGCACCCTTTCATTGTGCCAACTGGATTATTTCATTGCAGTCAATTTAAAGGAACTGTCATTAAGTTAAAAGAAAGGGTTAGCTAATTGGATTTTGGATTTCTAGTTTTCAGGTTGCTGATTCACTGTTTCTCCTGTTATATGTACCTAAAACTATAGACCATTTAGGATTTACTTGTAAATGTAACATAATTGTATTCAGCAAGATGGTTTTATTTTCACAAGCCAATTAACTGTTGTATATAAGAAGGGGGAGAAAAGCAAAGCAATATCTTGGTGTCATTTATCAGATAAGTGACTGAAGTAGCAGATTGGCAGAAAATCTAAACAGATTCTGGAATTCTACTGGGTATGAAGGGAAATATGTAGCATGTTTCAGAATAAAAGTAGGCCCTGACATTTTCAACTTCCATCGAGAGAAGATGCAACATAACAAAATACTAGCCTGGCCATCCAGGCAGAGAATTCGAATACAATTCTTATTGCATTCTTTTCCCTCTCTTCTAGATTCTCATTGCCAATGACAAAGCCTGCAAGCTCCTTGGGTACAGTAGTCAGGAGCTGATTGGCCAGAAGCTGTCCCAGCTGATATCCAAATGTACTCGGGGTGTAGTGGAGGCCCTAGCGGAGGAACACGTGGAGGCCAATGGATGTGCAGCTATGGTTTCTGGAACAGTGGTGTGTGAGATGGTCAAGCAAATAATGCCTTACAGAAGTACACTTGTGTGATAATTTCATTTTAACTCCTCAGTGTCATCTAGGCTGCCAGTACATGTCCCTAGGTTAGAGGTCACCTTTTGTCACTGTGTGACAGTAGGGACGTTGCTTTTGCCTTTTGAATTCTGACTTATGAAGTCCATTTGGGAGGTTTTTTTTCCTTGTGTCAACTTGCGTAGTCAGGATGACTTGCTCAAATGAATTCATAATGGACACTAGATAGAGAACGCATGCTAATGGCTCAAGAGGGAACATTTAATACTAATGCAAAGTTCCCAAAGGCTGCCTTGATGTAATTTTTTAAAAAGTTCTTAAATTGTCTTTCATTAATTGGAATAGTTATCAAAGTAGTGAAATGCCATGAAATATCCGAGGAAATATATGGAAAACCACTTTACTGAACAAGTGATATCTTGCCTTCAAGGGAGTATAATAAATCATAAAGTAGGTGGAAATGTCTGAGGGAAATGTCTCAGAAAAAGCCTTTTGAACTGCTGTTGTCCGCCAGGTTGTGTGCGTGAATATTCTGGAGGGTAAAATGAGCTCATATCCTCTCAGCAGGTCTGCTCTTTTTAAAGAGATATACAATACCAGGCCTAAAAACAAGTTTAGGGAGAAATGTGAAGGTTCGGTTGGCTGAGGCCTCAGGAAAAAAATTAGCATTTTTGGCAGCTGTGCAACTCAATAGGTGCAATCAAATATATTTTAGAGACTTTTTGTGGTGTGGTATAGTGTAAATGCATAAACCCTTCCTGTTACAAAATTAGTAATGCTTGACATGAATAGGGCAAGGAGAATCATGAGTAAACCTTATATGAAATAATTCTCTTATTTCAGAGGACTCTATTCCAACAAGAAATGAAACTATTAATTTTAACTGCAAAAATGCCAAAGCTCCCATTGAAGTTGAGTCTGCTGGTTCATCTCCACTAATAGCCAAAACAGCAGCCTTTCAAGAAGAGCTATTGTAACTTACTGAGATTCCCGGCTATCAGGAATGCATCTTTCAATGTGTGGTGTTGGAGTATCACTTGGAAAAGGCATGCAAAAGTTGGGAACACCGTGAACTTTTTTCTGAGGCTGAAAAAAACAACATGGCGTGTGTGATCAGTGAGCTATCTCAAATCTTCAGCCCTTTATACAAAAGCCGTCTTTCTTGCAACAAAGTAAAGGCGCTGGATGTCACCGAGCACTCCGTGTTGATTGTGCATGTCGGGGGTGGGGTTTAAAAACAAAGCTGTTCTTCAGGAACAGAGCAGTTTTAATATTACATGCTGTTTCAATGGCTGAGCAACTCCAATTACTTTATGGGTGAGAGCATTTCAGCAAAGCTGCAGTATTGGAGATACAATATGCAAGCTGCATATTTATACATTTGTATTAGGCATGCATTGAGCGTGCTGTGATCTCATTGTTTGGAGTGTTGATGTGAATGCCTGTACACTGAAAGGGAAATAGGGAATAAGTCAGATCTTGGGCTGCAGCCAAAGATCACCAAGTGTAGTGAAGGGACAGGGTGTACAAATGCGTTGCTTTGTCTCGCATAATTGTTTGCTGGTCCAAGCTCCTGTTGTGATTTAGAACAACCTCAAGAGTGTTGTAAATTAGTCCAGTTGTACATGTCCCCAAGAAGAGTAGGGTAACACTGGCTAGAGAGTGCCTCATTGTGTGGTGTCAGCTGCTGTCTTGTTTTTTAATTTACATAGAAATAGGAAGTTTGATCTAATTATTCCTTTGTGTCAGTGCCTTATAAGGATAGCGGTGTTCCCCCAAGATGTCCACATCGTTTCACTTGTAGTTCATCTCGGTTATGACAGCTCAGCTTCGCTTTACAATCCTGTCGCCCTGCCTGGAACTGTCCGTCAAATTCCCTGTGGTACAATGGAGGTTCCTGGGTAACTGAATGTTTTGGAGCACACAAGAGGAACTGTCTTTTTTCCCTTTGCCCCCATCTGAAAAATTACTAGAAAGATCCTTTATCTTGCATTTCTAATAGCAAGAGAGACACATCTCAGACCAGTTATTCAGCTCTCGTTGACCTGAAGCTGTTGGTAGGTAAAAAGAGACATGCTGTTGTGCTGTATTTAATGCTGATTCCTATTAACAGGTGGATGTTATAGACCGCAGCAATGAGAAGATCCCTGTCTCAGTCTGGATGAGGAGAATGAGAAGTGAGGAAAAGTGGTGCTGTGTGGTTGTACTGGAACCGGTGGAAAAGCTCTCTGCCTCTGTTTCCTTCAAAAGTGATGTGAGTGTTCTCTTAGTCACACAACGTGACAGCCATTTGACATAACAGAGCTTTTGTGCAAGCGAGGGAGTCTTAGTAACCTTAACAGACAATGCAATACTCATGAATATCAAAGCTGTATGTTGCACAGGGGAAGTGTGGGCGGACTCTGCGAGTTTCTCCCACGTAGCTCTGCAAGTTCTTCTCAGTCTTCACCTGCACTTTCTACCATGATCAGCTGAGTGGCCTTTCCTCAGGGACACTTTGCAGTGGAATGGATAATTCACTGGCAGTACTCTAGCGGGCCTAGTTGTAAATCTTTGTATACAAATGCTTTGTGCTGGGGAAAATTCTGGGGGAAATAGATTCTGTTTTTCTATTTGCCTCACATGGATTTTAGCTACAAAGTAACGGTTTCCATGCATGAAAATAGTGTCAGTGGCGTGCTGACTGGGTGAATGGTTGTTATTGGCATTGTCTCTCTTCATGGGTACCTGCAGACAAGTGGTTTGATATTAGCATAAACTGCTGTTTGGGAATGGTGTGGTCTGTGGTTAAATCCATTAAAACATTACAATTACAATTACAATGGCCATGTCAACTTTTTTTAAGGGAGAGATTATATCATGTGACCTTCTTTTTGCTCACCTTCATGGTTACACATCCTTGGAAGAAATAGTGGGGAATGACATAAAAGACCTGATTCCTTCTCTGCAGATCCCTCCTCCTGGCAAGCAAATTCCAAAGGTACTGTATGGTCTAGCAACAAAACTGTTTCTTGCCTTCTCCCTTGTGGTATAAATACTGCATAGTCTTCATATTTCATATGCACAGGGCTTCGCTAGTTGGGAAAAAATAAAGAGCCTCTGGTGGCAGATTGAGCACTAGTCTCCTGATAATGGCTGTAGAGGTGTTGCCTGATGTTCAGGTGCTTCCTAGCTAGGTAATGAGCCAGGGCTTTCACTGCAGGCTCTCTGCTAGTGAAGTAACACATCACCCCACACCCAGCCCACAAAAGCTTTCCTGTGCATGTTGTAATGGAAACAAAAGTGTTTCTTTTTTTAGAATCTGAAGATCCAGAGATCTGTGTGTCGAGCCAGAGAGGGCACATCGTTTCCTGTCAGTTTAAAGCTGAGGGCTAGTTTTCCTGATGAGGTCCAAGTCCCAGTGATTGAGGATGGACTCCTACAGGAGTGCAAGACAGGATCTTGCACTGACTGTTCTTACTCCGCCACTCTCTGGGTTTTCACCACCATCAGTGGGCTTATCACTCTCCAGCCAGATGGAACCATCTATGGCATCAACAACAGTTTTGCTTCGATTCTCTTTGGATATGAGAAAAAGGAGCTGCTGGGAAAGGTGAGGCCTGCATCCTTGCCCCTGCTATTCCCCAAAATGATTGGTGTATCTTAGTGAGCTCAAGTTTATCAGCAAAAGAATCCATTTTGCTTGCTGTGTTAGAACTGCTGTAAGCGTGGGGTGGTTGTTGGTACATAATTAACTGGTGAACAAAGAACTGCCAAAGGACAAGAGCAAATGTTAAGGATGCGGGAGGAGACTGTCACCTTCCACCATCCATCACTGTTGTGGCTCACATTTGTCTGACTTCTAGCAAGGGTCAAATTGAATTGCTTTCTGCACCAGCACAGGTTATCACCATCTGTCACCAACCAGTGAGGTATCAGGGTGGTTCATAATGTAGTACTCTGTATTTTAGAACATCACCTTCCTGATCCCTGGTTTCTATAACCACATGGAAAGAATTGATTACTCCTCCTTGCCATTTCCCCCTCTCGATGACTGCATGAAGGCGGAAAACGGAAGAACCTCTGGGGATGTTAAAAGAGCTCAGCTGGGAGACTGTTGTATCACAGACAGGAGTGAAGGTAAAGTGGCCTGAGGTGGGAGAAGCTATGCAAATGGGTATGTGTGCAATGGAAAGCACTGGCGTTCTGTATAATTGAAATAATCAATTTCATTGCATGGATGGTGATTTTATTTCTGCTTCCCTCTGCATTTCTAATGGCAAGAAACCAAAGAACATGCCAGCTCAGAAATTAACAATACCAAGAATAAATAATACTTTGCGTTTACAAGCTTCCTTTATTTCCTCGGTGAGATTAAAGCACTTCAAAATGTCTGACACGTAACTGTCTTGACTGAGTTGTCAGCATGCAACTCTAGGCTTCCTTGCTGTCAGTGTTTCTGTGCCTTTCTCATGGCACACAGCTACGTTCCAAATAACACCACAACCCTTTCCCAGGGATATTCTCCTCCTCCTCCTCCTCCTCACTGAGTTAGTTCTTGTTCAGGCCTTCTGTGTGGCCTATGCTTTGGATGGTGGCTTGTATTCTTTCAGTTATCTTATTCCTTAAATGAGTTTAATTGCTTCAGTCAGAATGCAGGACAGCTGATATGTCCTTTAGCAGTCTGCGATGTGTTTTTGCTTCATAAACAACTTATTATTGTAACACACATCTGCTGTCCCATGTAGTGGCACCTAGACCACTTACAGAAAGAAAGAATGAGCCTTAGCTGAGGGTACAGCTAGACTGAGGGGGGCTTTTGGGATAACAGAGGTATCCCAAAAAAACTCTGCCGCATCCAGGGAGCCCGTTTGCTCTTTCGCTTTTTTTTGTGGAAGAGCAAAAGCGCTCTTTCGGAAGCCCCTGTATTCCTCATTCCACAAGGAAGAAGGGGGCTTTCAAAAGAGAGGTTTTTTTCCCAAAATTTGGCCTTCTCTAGATGGGCCACATGTCAGAAAAGCCTCTTCCGACCGAAGTATTGGAAAAAGATTCACAAAATGCATTCTGCATTCTCTGTATCTCCTTCCAATAGATCCTCGCAGTCTAGACGTACCCTGCGAGGCACCTGGCATTTGGTTCAAGCAGTAGGGGTCTCATGCGCTAAGCTCCAGAGGTCCCAGGTTTGGTTTCATATGTTGTCAGCTAGCAGCATCCTCCAACGTAAGTCAACTACACAAAAGCAGAAGTATCTTAAAATGACAGAAGAATTATCAGTCGAGTTTTCATGTTGCAGAATGCATCTGTGAGCTGAATACAACAGGTGGAAGAAGCAAGCAATTTATCAAATTGCTGTAAAGCATGGTCAGTCTGTCTGTTGGCACAGTTAAAATTTGAGTTAACAAAAGATCTCTTGTTAATGTTTTGGTTCGTTAATTTTACTATTTAGCAGAGCTGTTTAAAATAATAGCACCTGAGTTACAGCAATTTGCCAAATTCCTTGCTTTTTCATATGTTGAAATCAGAGCTGTATTTCCAAAGTCATAGTCCACATCTTCCAAAATGAGCTCCTTCTGAGAAATAGCTATGCAGTGGCAAATACCACTGAGATCACTCTCTGCTGGAAACGATGGTGAGTATTTATGGAAATTCATGTGTAATATGCTTAAATGCTTTTATCTAATACATGCTTGCTAATTGCACTGTTTTTCTTGTAGCAAATTCTCAAGGTATGTGGCTATACTGTACATGATTCTTTTTGAAGAAGAAAAGGAAAGTAGGATGGTTTTGGTTACTGTGTTCAGCAAACTTCTAGCTGTCACTGATGCACACCATTCTAGAAGAATCCTTATGTTTGAAATTACCTCAGTATAAGCAAGGCTGCTTTCTCTGATTACATTTCAGAATTGTGTCTTCCCACCTGCTCTGTGTTGTCTGTTTTATTCCCTTTCATAGAATCATAGAACATTAGAACTGGAAGGGACCTTGAGAGATCGTTGAGTCAGTCCCCTGCCCTCATAGCAGGACCAAGCACTGTCTAAATCATCCTTGATAGATATCTCTCCAGCCTGCTCTTAAATATCTCCAGTGATGGAGATTTTACAACTTCCTTAGGCAATTTATTCCAGTGTTTAACCACCCTGACAGGTAGGTAGTTCTTCCTAAGGTCCAACCTAAACATACCTGGCAGTAATTTATGCCCATTGCTGCTTGTCCTATCATCAGATGTCAAGGAAAACCATTTTTCTCCCCCCTCCTTGTGAAACCCTTTTAGATATTTGAAAACCATTATCATGTTCCCTTCTCAGTCTTCTCTTCTGTAAACTAAACAAGGCCAATTCTTTCAGTCTTCCCTCATCGCTCATGTTTTCTAGACCTTTCATCATTTGTATTGCTCTTCTTTGGACCTTCTCCAATTTCTCCACATCTTTCTTGAAATGTGGTGCCCAGAACTGGACACATTACTCCAATTGAGGCCTCATCAGCATACAATTAGAGCAGAAGAATGACTTCTCGTGTCTTGCTTACAACACTCCTATTAATGCCTCCCAGAATCATGTTTGCTTTTTTTGCAACAGTGTCACACTGTGGTCCACTATGACCCCTATGGCCCTTTCTGCAGGACGCCTTCCTAGACAGTCGCTTCCCATTCTGTGTGTGTGAAACTGATTGTTCCTTCCTAAGTGGAGACTTTGCATTTGTCTTTATTAAACTTCATCCTATTTACCTCAGACCATTCCTCTTGTTTGTCCAGATCATTTTGAGTTTTGACCCTATCATTTGCAAACTTAATAATCATACTCTCTATGCCATCATCTAAATTGTTGATGAAGATGTTGAACAGAGCTGGTCCCAAAACAGACCCCTGCGGAACCCCACTTGTTATGCCCTTCCAGCAGGATTGTAAACCATTAATAACTACTCTCTGAGAATGGTTATCCAGCCAGCTATGCATCCACCTTATAGTAGTGCCATCTAGGTTGTATTTCCCTAATTTATTAATAAGAAGGTCATAGGAGACTGTGTCAGATGCCTTACTAAGGTCTAGGTATACTACGTCCACTGCTTCTCCTTTATCCACAAGGCTTGAGATCCTATCAAAGAAAGCTGTCAGTTTTGTTTGACATGATTTGGTCTTTACAAATCCATGCTGGTTGTTACCTATTACCTTTTTATCCTCCAGATGTCTGCAGATGAATTTCTTAATTACTTGCTCCATTATCTTCCCTGGCACAGTCCATAGTTTCCTGGGTTGTTCTTATTTTCCTTTTTATAAAATAGGCACCAGATTTGCTTTTTTCCAGTCTTCTGGAATCTCTCCTGTCTTCCATGAGTTTTCAAAGATGATAGCTGAAGGCTCAGATACCTCCTCTATCAGCTCCTTTAATATTCTAGGATGCATTTCATCAGGCCCTAGTGACTTGCAGACATCTACATTTTCTAAGTAATTTTTAACTTTTTTTTTCTTAACTTCTAAACCTACCCCATTTCCACTAGCAATCACTATGTTAGGCATCCAGTCACCATCAAACTTCTTGGTGAAAACCGAAACAAAGACATTGTTAAGCACCTCTGCCGTTTCCATGTTTCCAGTTATTGTTTCTCCCTCTTCACTGAGTAATGGGCCTACTCTGTCCTTGGTCTTCCTCTTGCTTTTAATATATTTGTAGAACATCTTGTTACCCTGCATGTCTCTAGCTAGATTAAGCTTGTTTTGTGCCTTTGCCTTTCTAATCTTGCCCCTGCATACCTGTGTGGTTTGCTTATAGTTATCCTTCATAATCTGATCCAGTTTCCACTTTTTATGTGATTCCTTTTTGATTTTTAGATCATATAAGTTCTTCTGGTTGATCCAAGGTGGTTTCGTGCCATACTTTCTATCTTTCCCGTGCAATGGAATAGTTTGCTTTTGGGCCCTTAATAATGTCCCTTTAAAAAACTGCCAACTCTCTTCAGTTCTCTTTCATTCTGTTCTTTTGCCTTTCTCTCTATAACAGCTGCTCTCTGGTACCAAATCTGTATGTATGGATGAGGATCAGTGGCTTTTGAAAAGTGCTGTTGTTGTCTGTTAATAACTTAGAGCTTTCCTTTTGAAAGCAAACACATGACCTCTATTGTAGATACCTTCTGTTAATCCAGTGGACTTGACTCATAGAATTACTTCCAAATGCTGGTGGTTTGGCTGTTCTAGATACAGTAAAACTCCAATGGTCTGGCACTCCTGCTAGTCCGGCACCACCTGGAACCCGGAAGTGCTCCAGGCAGCCGGAAAATTGGAGCCGCTCTGCCCCAGGCTTCCCTGAGTCAGCCGCTGGTCAGTTTCAGCAGCGGCTGACTTGGGGACGCCTGGGGCAGAGCAGCTGGGGTGCTGCCGGGTTGGTCCTGCAGCGCCGTTCCTCCGTTCCCCCCCACCCCACCCCAGACCCCTCATAGCCCCCCCTTCCGATAGTCCGGCATATCTGATAATCCGGCACCCCCTGGGTCCTAAAGGTGCCAGATTATCAGAAGTTTACTGTAGCATGTGCTTCTCAGCATAAATTTATTCAGAATCCTCACAGGTTCTCATTATAACTTTGTCTTCTTAATGTCCAACTTTTAAAAGTATTCTCATTCTGTGTCAGCATTTTCCTTGCTGGGTCTTTGATGCAAAAATAGATGGAAAAAATTTTAAGGAGCATTTGAGCATAATACAACCCTTGTGGTCAAACATGACCTTGTTTGTGTAGTGTACAGGTGAGGAGTAACTTAGAAATTAAGCGAAACAAAGTCTTAATTTAAAGTGCTTCAGACAGCTGACTTCCCTACAGTAAATCTTACATTGATTTCATGTTGCAATCCAAGACAAAGGACTCTGATTTCTCCTTTTCTGCAAACTGAAGTGGTTCAAATTATAGTTTATGCTTGAGTATTTGGGTACTACACATTTGGTAAGCCATTAAGGACTACAGTAGCCATTAAGGGCTAAACTCCAGTGGAGTTATGCCAGCAGAGAATTTGGTCCTAAATAATACCTTTAGAGAGCTGAGATGAATGAACTACTCTGTGTTGGTCATTTGCATGGCAAATGGCAACTGTTTGAGGACTCTGTTATTGGCTTCACATTGCCTTCTAGGTCTTGTCATTGTCCTCTGGTTCCTTTTTGGATGTGTTGACTGGAATCAAAGGACTTGGTGGACAGTGCTTTGTCTTCACCAGAGTCTGGGAGGAACTTTTCTAATTTACCATCTAGGCTTGGTCACTTTTTATCTTCAGTGTATAGCTGTACATAGCCTAAGTTTAGCTGCATACAGTTTTGGCACTATCTGTTTAATTTATTTCAGACGCATCCTCACTCGCATTCTGATTCCCTTTGGATCTTTTTGCCCTGTACCAGAGCCCTGTTTTCTGTTCTCTGAGTCATTCCTTAAACGTTTTGAGCTGTGTTCTTGTTCTTATTTCTGTTTCTATTTTAGATGTGGAGGTTGGGTGAGTTCAGGTTATTGTAGCAAACTGAGCTTCAGGTTTTTTCCCTTGGTTTTTGGAGTGGTTTGAAATAACTTTTGTTTAACATCAGTGTAAATTCTCTTGTATTGCATTTGTCGTATGCTTTCCTTGGGGATATGAGCACGGGCTCAGATTCACTGTCCCAAGTAAATCCAAAAGTAGTGCTCGGGTTCTTCACCCAGCCAGTGGTTTCAAGGCTGCTGCTTTTCTTCTGTTTTTTTTCCCCACCTATGTGTTGGATGCTTTAGCATGCTACCATGCTTCTCTGGGAAGGTAAGTTGTGACTCGGTGTCACCTGCTCTTTAAACTCTTCAGCACTAGAGTCAGAGCTGGGCTATTCCCAGGCTTATGGAGCTATGAAAGCTGACATATCTGCATTAAAGACTAAATCTGAAGAATTGTCTCATCTTGTTTGGTACAGGGGCCAGTCACTTGCTTGCTGGAGATGCAGTCCTCCTGCTATGTGAGAAGCAGAAATTAGCAAGGAGCCAAGCCAAAGAGATTTTCACTAGAGCAGAGACCCAGCTGGATGGTGGGAGCAATGTGCCACCTACTCTATCATCATCTGCAGTGACATCCACGCATTTCTGTGGGTAGGTTTTATAGGTGCACTGCCACAACTGCCATAGACCAAACCAGTTAGCAACAGTTGCAAGAAATACTTTTTCATTATTTGTAAAACTGAACTGTGAGGGGTCAGGAGAGCATTAGCGTCCTGAATTAGGTTTAGTCTGTGCTAGGTCAGAAACGGAGCTAAAGAAGTGTTTAAACACAGTTCTAGCTAAACCAGCTTCTAACACTGCTTGGTTCTATTCATGCTATCCCCAGAAACTGTTCTGGAAACTAGTCTAGGTGGAACTGTGGTAAACAGTGTTCCCTCTTTCTGAGTATCGCTATATGTCATGTCAAAGTCTAAATAATAAGGTGGGTGAACTAGGCATCACCAGGGCTCGACAAATTATGTAATCTTCTCGCCTGTGGCGAGTAGATTACAAGCTGCAAAGCTGGCGCAGCCCGGTCTGCACATGCGCAGACCACAGAACCGCGTGGCTGGCAAGCAGGGCTCACTGCCACTTGGTGAGTCCTGGGCATCACAGAAATGTGGTGAATTAAGGTTATGGGGGACAGTAATACCAGGGTACAAAATATATCAGAAAGACAGAAAAGGTTGTGCTAGTGGAGGAGTGGCAGAAAACTGGAAAAGGGGAAATATAGTGCCCCTCTATAAAAAAGGAAATAAGGACAATCCAGGGAATGACAGATCAGTTGGCTTAACTGTATCTGGAAAGATAACAGAATAAATAATTATCAATCAATTTGCAAACATCTAGAAGATAATAAGGCAATAATTAACAGTCAGCATGGATTTGTCAACAACAAATTGTATCAAACCAACCCGATACCTTTCTTTGACAGAATAATAAGCCTTGTGGATGGGGGAAAGTGGTAGACATAGTATATCTTGACTTCAATAAAGCTTTTCATACTGCCTCACATGACCATAAACAAACTAGGGAAATGCAACCACGTTGAAGTTACTATAAGGTTGGTGTAAAACTGGTTGGAAGACCATTTTCAGAGAGTAGTTATCAATGGTTCACAGTCATGCTGGAAGGGCAGAATGAGTAGGGTTCTGTCGGCTTCTGTTCTGGATCCAGTTCTGTTCAGTATCTTCATCAATGATTTAGATAATGGCATGAAGAGCACCCTTATAAAGTTTCTATATGATGCCTAGTCAGGAGGGGTTGCAAGTGCTTTGGAGGATAGGATTGAAATTCAAAATGACCTGGACAAAGCGGACAATTAATCTGAGATAAATAGGAAGAAATTCAATAAGGACAAATGCAAAGTGCTCCAGTTAGGAAGAAACAGTCAGTTACACGCATGCAAATGGGAAACAGCTGCCTAGGAATGAGGACTGGGGAGAGAGATTGAGCACAAGCTAAATATGAGTCAACAGTGTGACACTGCTGTAGGAAAAGCAAATGTTTTGGGACGCATTAGCAGGAGTGTCATAAGTAAGACATGAGAAGTGATTCTTCTGCTCTTCTTTGTGCTTATCAAGCCTCAACTGGGGTATTATGTCTATTTCTGGGTTCCACATTTCAGGAAAGACATGGACAAATTGGAGAAGGTCCAGAGAGGAGCATCACAAATGATTAAAGGTTTAGAAAACATGATCTGTAGGGGAAGATTGAAAGAACTGGTTTGTTTAATCTTGAGAAGACTGAGAGGGGACAGGATAACCATTTTCAGATACCTAAAAGGTTGTTACCAGGAGGAGAGAGAAGAATTCTTCTTCTTAACCTCTGAGACTAGGACAGGAAGCAATGGCCGTACATTTCAGTAAGAAAGATTTAGGTTGGACATTTGGAAAAACTTCCTAACTGTCAGGGTGGTTAAGCCCTGGAATAAATTACTTAGGGAAGTTGTGGAATCTTCTTCAGTGGAGATTTTTAAGACCGGGTTATATAGATACCTGTCAGGAATGCATTAGTAGGAGCATTGCAAGCAGGTCAGGGAAGTGATTATTCTCCTCTATTTGGCAGTGGTGAAGCCACAATGATCCAGCCCTGGGTGCACATGGTCCGGACACAGTACCGTATTTTCCGGCGTATAAGACGACTTTTGATGTTAAAAAACATCCCCCAAAAATCAGGGGTCGTCTTATACGCCGGGTATACAGGCGGCGGGGCAGCCCAGGCGCGCCGGGGCTGTCCCGCTGCCGGGACACCGGGAGCAAAGCCTCTGAGGACGTCCCGGCAGCGGGACAGCCCCGGCGCGCCGGGGCTGTCCCGCTGCCGGGACACCGGGAGCAAAGCCTCTGAGGACGTCCCGGCAGCGGGACAGCCCCGGCGCGCCGGGGCTGTCCCGCTGCCGGGACACCGGGAGCAAAGCCTCTGAGGACGTCCCGGCAGCGGGACAGCCCCGGCGCGCCGGGGCTGTCCCGCTGCCGGGACACCGGGAGCAAAGCCTCTGAGGACGTCCCGGCAGCGGGACAGCCCCGGCGCGCCGGGGCTGTCCCGCTGCCGGGACACCGGGAGCAAAGCCTCTGAGGACGTCCCGGCAGCGGGACAGCCCCGGCGCGCCTGGGCTGCCCCGCCGCCTGTATACCCGGCGTATAAGACGACTTTTGATGTTAAAAAACATCCCCCAAAAATCAGGGGTCGTCTTATACGCCCAGTCGCCTTCTACGCCGGAAAATACGGTACTCCATATGTGACCCAATTTCAGAATTGGGCAAACTGGTTAAACTATAGTGATGAACAATATTGTCAGACACACAGATGAACATAATTTGTTGGGAAAGACTCAACATGGTTTTTGCAATGGGAAATCATGCCTTACTAATCTGCTAGAAGTCTTTGAGGGGATCAGCAAGGATGTGGACGGGGGGATCCAGTGAATATAGTGTACTTAGATTTCCAGAAAGCCTTAGACAAAGTTCCTCACCAAAGGCTCTTAAGCAAAGTCATCTGTCACAGGATAAGAGGGAACGTCCTCTCATGGATTGATAACTGTTTAAAAGACAGGAAGCAAAGGGTAGAATGAATAGTTTTCAGAATGGGGATAGGAAAATACCAGTGTGCCCGGGGGTCTGTATTGAGACCAGTCCTATTCAACATACTCGTAGATGATCTGAAAAAAAGGGGTGAAAAGTGAGGTGGTGAAATTTGAAGATGATACAAAACTACTCAAGATAGTTAAGAACCAAGCAGACCGTGAAGAGCTTCAAAAAGATCTCACAAAACTGGGTGACTAGGCAACAAAATGGCAGATGAAATTCAATGTGTATAAATGCAAAGCATTGCAAAATATAATCTCAACTGTACATATAAAATGATGGGGTCTAAATTAGCTGCTATCAGTCAAGAGAGAGATCTTGGCATCATTGTGGAGGGTTCTCTGAAAACATCCACGAAGTGTGCAGCAGCTGTCAAAACAAACCAAAAAAATTTTGGGAATCATTAAGAAAGGGATAGAGAATAAGACCGAATATCTTATTGCCTCCATATAAATCCATGGTACACCCATCTGTTGAATACTGCATACAGATGTGGTCTCTTCATTGCAAAAAAAGATATCTTGGGATTGGAAAAGGTTAGGAAAAGGGAAACAAATGATTAGGGTTATGGAATATCTTCCATGTCATGAGAGATTACTAAAACTGGGACTTTACAGGTTGGAAAATAGACATTCGAGGGGGGATATGATAGAGGTCTATAAAATCATGACTAGTGTGGAAAAAGTGAATAAGGAAAAGTTATTTACTTATTCCCACAGTATAAGAACTAGGGGTCACCGAATGAAATTAAGAGGTAGCAGGTTTAAAACGAACAAAAGGAAGTTTTTCTTTACTTAGCACACAGACAACATGTGGAACTCCTTGCCAGAGGATGTTGTGAAGGCTAGGGCTTTAAGAGTGTTCAGTGAGAGCTAGACAGCTCCATGGAAGTTAAGTCCATCAATGGCTATTAGCCAGGATGGGTAGGAATGGTGTCCCTGGCCTCTGTTTTTCTGGAGGTAGATGACAGGGGAGGGGTCATGTGAGGATTCCCTGTTGTGTTCCTTCCCTCTGGGGCATCTGCTATTGGCCACTGTCGGCAAGACAGGATACTGCGCTAGATGGACCGTTGGTCTGACCCCGTGTGGCCGGTCTTAGATATGTGTGTTCTTTGTTCGCTTAGTGCCTAGTCTTCACATAAGAAAGTCAGACCATGGGGTCTTCACATGCTGCCCTTGCCTGCAGACCCCCTGCAGCTCCTATTGGTCAATAACGGAGAACCCTGGACAATGGAAGCTGTGGGGTCAGTGCCTGTAGATGAGGGGCAGCACATGGAGCCACTGCTGTACATGCCAGATGCTTTCAGGCAGCCTAGCTATGTCTGCTGCATCTCTTTAGATCTGCCTTTTCTCTTTTCTTTTTGCTATAGGAATAATAATTCTACATAAAACAATGCATGCTAAATACAATTCTGTTTAAGTATAGACTCTAAACATTTTTATCTGCACAGGTTCTAATTTTAACTTGTTAGAATTGCTACTGCCTTTGAAAATTTACGGTAATCTAAAGAACATTTGTATTGCCATGATAAAACTGTATATAGCAATGATATCTGGGAACCCAGTGCAGATCTTTCATTAACATATGTCCTGCCAGCTGGTTGTTTTCATTTCACTGTGGCAAATTCACTCTTGCTCTAAATCTGTTTCTATTGGAACAATATTTAGCAGCCTATTCCATATGCTAACATTAGCCACTGCTTTGCATTAAAATTTGGATTTGCCATGAGCTGGGAAGTCTGCACCAAGAGTTTCCTCCTGAATCTTAAAAAGACCAGTGCACGTTGTAAATGATCAAACAGTTCCAGGCTGCCTGTATGTCAGTGCGTTCTCTCTCCTCTTCTGACCCTGACATGCACGATACCTTTGAATCCCTACAGTGTGGACTGCATTGCTGCTGGTGGCCTGCCAGCCACTGATGAAGAGCCATTGCCTGAGAGTCAGCACGAGGAAATCTTCACTGTGACGGAAACTGCAAAACCGAATAACTCGTCCCAGAGCCTGTCTGCAGCAGATGCTCTCAAACCGTCTGATCCAGAGCAGTCCGTTTTAGGTCAGAGCACAGAAGTCCCAGTGAGAGTGTGTAACGGTCCAGTAGCATCCGAGACTCTGCAGGAGAACATTGATGTGATTGGTAGCTTATCTGACTTGCTGCAGGAGGAACAGAATGTCCTTGTGGATTTAGACAGACAGTTGGGCTCTGGATTACCACATGATGAAACCAGGAAGTGTCAATCTTCCATTGAAGCCCTGGGAAAGGCTGCTTCTGTACTGGGCTCTCAGATGCCTGTTCCCTGCAGATTAGAAGATAGTCTAGAAACAGAGACCAGTGATTTGAATAGATCTTTGTGTGATGCTACCTGTCTCTCCTTGGGGACACCAACTCTAGATGAACCACGATGTGGGGCAACATCTTACTGCAGACAAAATGTGCAAGTCCATGTGATTACAGAGCAGTTCACAAACACAAACTCAATGAGTGGGACAAGAAACGCCAGCTTTGAGCAGGTAACACTAGACAGCTCCAGACTGACCAGCTGTTCACCCTTCCTTCCTGTTGGAAGGAGTAATATCCAAGATGTTTGTTCGGGAAGTCTCCTAACTTGTGATGCCTCTGCCCTGGGGGCCTCCAGTACTTTCAACAAATCGCAAGAACCAGGCACTGAGGTGAATTGTGTTTGTGATGGCCTTAGTGAGCTGAACCTCAACATTGACACAGAGTTGACTTCAGCCAGTTGTTCAGATGCTACGTCAGGTCTTCCATGGACACCCTTGCCCAGTGTAATGAATTGTGACTTAGATGTAGGCAGCCTCCTGGCCCGGAAGACTAGCTCCTCTACAAGTGAACAGGATGAGCCCCCCTTGAATAGCCCAAAGGGTGGGCAGGGGTGGGTGAACTCCCGCAGACATTTGAAAAACGCTCAACGGGATTCCTCCAGAGCATCTCCTTCAGTGCCTAACAGTGCTGCAGAGAACACAGGGAGCCCTCTGAGCAGTGATGTGAATCCCCAAGAAGACAGTCTGCTGTCCAAGCAGCAGAACTTAGAAATGCAAGTAACATCCACCCCCGTGAAAGCAGAAGCTAAATTCTCTCCATCAGTTCCTTTGCTTACCTCTGAGATCCTGGAAGGCAGCTATGCTGGGAACTGCTATCACAGAGACGGCTCCCGGCTAAGTAAGTTTAAACCAGTGACCGGTTCTGACCCTCTGAAGCTCTTGGTTGGACACTTGTTTTTCCTTCCTGAAAGAAAGAAATGTTTTCTGGGATGGAGGGTGGGAGGAGGCTTTGGAGTTGGAGGAGGAGAGAGGTTCATCTGTGGGCCAGTCTATTTTCATTGTCCAAATGGAGTGCAATGTAAAGTAAGTAACGTACATGCTGAAGAGTAAATTTCTCTTAAAATGCATTGGCTTGATAATCTCAGTGGTGGGCAAAAGACAGTTAGTCTTGTGGGAGGTGGGTCCAGATATTTCATGGGACACTTGCCTTCAACTGGAAAGCAGCTTGCATTTAATCCAGCACCCGAGCTGTGTGCTCAGAGACCGTTCACACACTGCTGATGTGCAGAACCTGCTGCTTCTACGGGTGCACTCACTGCTCTTCTGTGGGTGGCTATTGACAGTCTCTAGAACAGTGGTGCTCAACCTTTTTTAATTCGCGACCCCCAGGGCCGGGGCAAAAAAGGACCGGGAATATTTTGTTGTGGCCCCTTTAATTTAAAGCACCAGTCCGCTCCCCTCCCCCTCCCCCTCCCCTGCTGTGTATATGTCAGGTGCCGAGCCGGGAAAAGAAAATGGCAGCTGGTCCGGATCAAAGCTCTGTGGCCCCATAGGAAGACAGCTGTGACCCCCAAGGGGGTTGCGACCCCCGGGTTGCGCACTGCTGCTCTAGAGCACTTGCACTGGTGGCCAGCTGGGCCGCCAGCCACTCTGGGCCCTACAGTTGCCAGGTGTCCGGTTTTGAACTGGACAGTCCAGTATTTGAGCTTTCTGTTCAGGAACCAAATTGAGAAACTAGAACTGTCCGGTATTTTCTAACTAAGATGTAATATAGATTGTCATGTCATGTCAAGTGTCTCCGGTATTTTTGTTGAAACCATCTGGCAACCTTACTGGGCCCTGGGGCAAAGTTTTGAGGGAGAGGGGGGCTGGCTCTGTGTCCCTGGAAGAGGCGAGGCCTCAGGTGGAAGGGGCAGGGCCTGGGCAGCCCAACTCCCAGCCTTCAGAGCCATACGGAGCGGCACTCCAGTGGCAAGTCAAAGGGGGCAACAGCAGCAATGGCCAAAGCTGTCAACTTCCCTCTTGCTCACCCATCGGCAGGCTGCTGATGGCCAAACCCGTAGTCAGATTTCACTCAGTTCGTACTGGAGTCCGTGGGGGTCTCCGCCAACAGAGCTTCCTAACTGCAAACTGGGAGTGCGAGTTAGGAAGCCAGCCTGAATGCCACTTGCTCCTTCCCCATATTCCCTGCTGACACGGCCTGCCGGCCGGGGTTTGTGTTTCGCAAGGTGTGCTCTTCGAAGTGAAGCGTGTGGAACTGCAGGACCCCGCAGCTCTCTTCTGCGTCTGGGTGGCGAGAGACCTCCTCTGGAACCAGAACGCAGCAGCCCGCAGGACTCAGCTTCTACTCTCCAGTCTGGCCAGTTCCTCCCCGTCCGGGGGGGAACTCTCTGCACTCAGCCTGGGAGAAGTGAGTGGCTCTGCCGTCTCCTAGTGCGGAAGCGGCCAACCTGTGACTCGAGCTGCATGGGGCTCTTCTGTGGGTAAAGTGCAGCTTGCAGGGCCCCACCCCCCATCATTTTCCCCTGCCAGATTGGGGGAGAGCTTGAGGCTTCTGCCCTATGGTGAGGCAGTGGGAGCAGGGCTTTGGGTGCCTGCTGAGTGCGAGGGGGCACAATTTACAGGTTCGCTCCCCCTCATTGCGATAGTTTGGTTCACAACCTCCTGGTGCAGCTTCTCCCTACAGCTGCCAGGCATTTGTTCCTCATGGAGAGCCAGCAGCAGGTCCCGCCCATGGGACTGGTACTCCAGGCCCTGGCAGGCAGGGCCCAGCTGTCGAGCTTCCGAAGATTGTCGGATGCAGCTCCGAGGGTCAGTAAGTTTGGCCACCCTGACTTAACGTTTGAAAATGCGTCTCCGCTCTTGTTGCGTCCTTCTCAGGGGGAGCTGAAGTGAGGTTTTTGATGTCATATGTATGCAGGAAGTATTTAACTGTCATGAAAGGAACAACACAAGGTAGTTTTAACTGGTCATCTGAAGAAGGGGGCTGTGCCCACGAAAGCTCATGATCCCATCGACATGTTTTGTTAGTCTATAAAGTGCTACCAGGCCATTGGTTGGTTTTTAAGTTTATCCTGTACAGACCAACTCGGCTACCCCCTGAAGCTAGTTCAGCATGGTGAGTCTTGTGACAATAACAGCTTTGAGTTGAAACATCACATTTTCACAACTACCTGAAAAAGCATCTTCCCCTAACTCCCTTAATTCTGTATATTCCTTGCTCATTGATTCACTTAAGTTTTTTGGTGTCTCTTTTTTCTTACTTCAGGCCATCAGGACAAGGCCATTGTTTGAGAATTCCCAAAGAGCTGAAGAGCTGGAAAGTTTGAGGGCAAATGAGGGGGAATATGCAAAGAAATACGACACCATCTGTCTCATTGGAAAAGGAGCTTTTGGCTTTGTCTGGACTGCCAGATGCAAGAAAGATAAGAAGGAGGTTAGGGAGGAACATTTCTTTATTTACTCTCATAGGTTTTTTTTAATAATATGACCATTTATTGCAAGAGCATTATTCTATGATGAAATGTCAATCTCTGGCTACCAGAACCACAACACTTAAATCTGAAGGTTTTAGCTCTTTTGTATGTTTGTTTGTTTTTTAAAAAACAAACTGAGAGGTAGTGACACTGCTGTACTAAAAAGGATAATGTATCCGTTTCAAAGAACCTATGGCCAGCCTCCTCTTGTGACTAGCAATGGTTCTGGGTCTAATTCAGCTCACAAGGTCTGAAAGAAATGGGACTGCAGCTCTTAACAGTGTTGTAGAATTAAGTAATCCGTAAGCAGAGAGGCCAAACTGCAAATGATGGCTCAGATCCTGCAGAAATGTTAGGCGTAAGCTTAAGCTTTTACATACTGTGACATAGACCCAATAAAGTCCTGCGGCCCTAGTTTTGATCTGTGGGTGAAGTTTCACAGAGTTCAGTGAACCAGGTGGAAGCAAAATGGGGAGATGTATGTTAAGAGCAACAGATGCAGTTGTGCAGCCCATCTGTTGAGTTTCGTGAGTGTTGGATAGTTCTTAAAGTCCAATTGTCGGTATATTCAAGGGACTGAAATCAGTGTAGATCTGGCTTTTATAACTGTCAGCAGCTTTCTGGGCTTGCTGGTAGTGGCCTTTTTGTAAACTTGTAGAGAAAATAATCTTCATGTTAATCATCTGGGGCCCTCTCATGTTGCATTATTTGTGTAGGTTGTAGTAAAGTTCATTTGGAAGGAGAAGGTGTTGGAAGACTGCTGGGTAGAGGATCCTGAACTTGGAAAAGTTACTCAGGAGATTGCAATCTTGCGAAAGCTGCATCATCCCAGTATTGTTAAGGTACAGTAGAATTCAAAGCACACACCTTTTAAGGAACAGTCATATTCTGAATTAGTTTTCACTACCCCTCATCTTTCAAACTGGCCAAACCTCCCCTCTTATCACAGTAAAACCTTTGAAATCTGTTGCAGGCTTATTAGACATAGGCCATCTTAAAATCTTACGCTCTGACTATTCAGGTCAGAACAACGTGGTAAGCTGGGGAGAGAGGTAGATACGTTGGAGGGTCGGGATAGGGTCCAGAGTGTCCTAGACAAATTGGAGGGTTGGGCCAAAAGAAATCTGCTGAGGCTCAAGAAGGAGAAGTGCAGAGTCCTGCCCGTGGGACGGAAGAATCCCAAGCACGGGTACAGGCTGGGGACCAACTGGCTGGGCAGCAGTTCGGCAGAAAAGGACCTGGGGATTCCAGTGGATGAGAATCTGGATATGAGTCAACTCTGGGCATGCCCTTGTAGCCAAGAAGGCTAATGGCATATTAGGTGCATTAGGAGGAGCATTGCCAGCAGATCCAGAGAAGTGATTATTCCCCTTTATTCGGCTCTGGTGAGGCCACATCTGGAGTAGTGTGTCCAGTTCTGGGTCCCCCACTATAGAAATGATGTGGATGCATTGGAAAGGGTCCAATGGAGGGTGACAAAAATTATTAGGGGCTGGAGCACATGAGCTATGAGGAGAGACTGAGGGATTTGGATTTGTTTAGTCTGCAGAAGAGAAGAGTGAGGGGGGATTTGAGAGCAGCCTTCAGCTGGGATTGGTCCTGCCTTGGGCAGGGGGCTGGACTTGATGACCTCCTTAGGTCTCTTCCAGCTCTGTGATTCTAACTACCTGAAGGGGGTTCCAGAGAGGCTGGAGAGAGGCTGCTCTCAGTGGGGACAGATGGCAGAACAAGGAGCAATGGGCTCAAGTTGCAGCAGGGGAGGTCTAGGTTGGATATTAGGAAAAGCTGTTTCCTTAGGAGGGTGGTGATGCACTCGGAGGGGTTCCCTAGGGAGGAGGTGGAATCTCCCTAGAGGTTTTAAAGCCTCAGCTTGACAAAGCCCTGTCTGAGATGATTGAGTTGGGGTTGGTCCTTGCTTTGGGCTGGGGCTGGACTTGATCACTCCTTAGGTCTCCTCCAGCCCTAAGATTATATGATTCTGAGATTTGGCCTGGTTTGCCTCTTTACTCAGAGGCCGTTACATGGATGTGAGCCAGGTTGTTGCAACAGTATTTAGAGAATTAGGGGCATTGTAAAATTGCCTCGCTGAATTTTGCGGTGCCTGTGTTCAGACCATTACAGGGGTTCCCCGATTCTGTCAATGTTCAGAATTCCCTCCAAGACTTCCTGGTGTGGTGACATGAAAGAGATCCTTTTCTTAATTAACCTGGGATGTCTGTCATGATTGTCAAGCCTTCAGCCAGTTGTCCTTGCAAGTTAGAGAACAGCAGCTGATACCATTAAACAGAAGGTCTTCAGTTATTGGGAACAGGACTCGTAGTGCAAGAGAAACCTCTGAAGTTTGTAGAAAGGGACGTGAGGGATTTAACTCTGACTCATCACTGGTGCTTCTAACCCCAGCAACTGAACAAACAACATGGCTACAAACAACATGGCTACCCTAATCTCTCACATTTGAAGAGAGAGAAATCTTAGTTTGCTTCCAAATATATTTCCCAAGAGCACTACTGCAAAACGCTGACAGCCAGCCCAGATGGATGCAGCTCCCAAGTTTAAATAGATGAGCTGTTGTGCTTTAGATTATCTGGACAAAAGTTCCTCCTAACATTCACCAGTTAATAAGATCTTTTTGCAATTGCCTGGGACTACCCCAGTCTCAGACTGAATTCCTGGGTCCTTTACCAGCTGTTTAGGCTTTGGGAGTATGCAGAAGGGAGCTAATTCTCCCAAAGATATGAGAAGCTTATTTTGTTGAAATGTACCCTTCTCCGGAGGTTCAAGCAGAGCATCTCAAGATTTGAGGAGGCTTCATCTGAACTTCCTGCATACTTCAGACTTCATAGGGGTCTTGATTTCTGATGACAGTGATCTGGTGACATAAAAGAGCAGTAGACCAGAAACTAATGCTCCCTTTCCAAAGGCTTGCCCTGCTTACCCTGGGCGATTTTACAAGTTGGGCAACTGATGCTGAGATTTTGTGTGGATAAAGAAATTGAATTCCCTGAAGATTCTAATATGCTTTGATCACTGCTCCTCTTTGGCGGTGAATGTCTGTAGATTGCTGTAAGGACAAAAAGCGTGATAAGACGTGCCTGTTACTTATAGGTGCAGGATGTGTTTGAAAATGGACGCTTTTTCCAGTTAGTGATGGAGAAGCATGGATCAGGCCTGGATCTTTTCACATTCATTGATAATCGGCCAGACTTGGATGAGCCCTTGGCAAGCTACATATTCAGGCAGGTGAGAGCTACTTTTGAAGCAAAGCGTGGTTCGGAGAATGTGCCTGTTTGATATTTGTTGGGGGAAGCTATTTCACTGGAAAGTTGAGACAGATTAGTCAGTGAACCTGTTTGCATTGCTGTTTTTGTGACAGCACATGGTATTTGGAGAGTGCCACCTGGACATTTTGGAAGGCTGATTTCTAGTGGTCTAAAATGTCACCTATAAAAACTGCTGTTGCAAATGGGGCAACATTTAATGAGGTTTCCCCAAGTCTCAGTGACTCGGGTATTTTGCATACTTTCCCTTTACCAAGTTTTGTGTAAACTAAAACTCCCCCTTACTTTTCTGCTCTGCCTGCTTGGCTGGACTGTGGGGGTCTCAAAATGAACACTTGATCAGAATCGTTTGCATATTGTGATGCTGTGCTTAATGATGGCATTGCAGAATGAATGTGCAGAAGGAAGTAACTGAGGGGCTTGTCTACCCTTGAAGCACTGCAGAGTGGGGATGGGAGCTAGTGCACGTAAGCCGGTTCCCTGTGTGCACCAGCTCTGGCTGCCAGCCTTGCTCCTGGAGAGCCAGCTGATGCCCCGTGCTGCAGGCTCTGCAGTATAAGGGTCCGCAGCATGTAACCACTACGATTTTGAATGGTTACAGTTACATTATTAACTGGGTTTTATATCCTTTCTGCAGAGCTGCAGCCACACTGCTGTGCCTCTTGAGTATATACTCTCCCGTCAGCGTAGTGAATTCACCTCCTTGAGAGGTGATAGCTAGGAAGAATTCTTCTGTGGACCAAGCACTGTGTACACAGGGAATTAAGTTGGCATCCCTGTGGTGCTTAGGGGTCTGGATTTTAGAAGATGCAGTTGCACCTTTCAGACTTCTGCTGTGCTCTGGGCTATTGCAGAGAAGCATTCGTCATGTAAATATCTCTGTTGTGATCTCATACTCTTTGTGCTTCAGCTAGTGTCGGCAGTGGGATATCTTCACTGCAGAAATATCCTCCATAGAGACATCAAGGATGAGAACATCATCATTGCTGAGGATTTCACAATCAAACTGGTAGACTTTGGCTCGGCTGCTTACATGGAATCTGGGAAGCTGTTCTACACATTCTGTGGGACAGTTGAGTACTGCTCACCAGAAGTGCTCGCAGGCAATCCGTACGTACTGGGCTGAGATGAAGGCTGCTCACGTGTTCCTTGTGAGCAGGGCGCTTGTAAGGCCGAGTGACAGAATGCCTGACGGAATGCGGTTTTAACTATTATCCTTGGCATCTGTGCTAGGCTCATTGAAGTAAATTGGGTATTTCCCACCTCAGAGCCTTTGGAGCAGCCTTTTGCAACTTGAAGGTGCACCCCCTTGAGGGGGTTTGAAAGTCTAACAGTCCGGGGCCCTCAGATCCCTCAGGTGTTCCCCAGTCTCCACTTTCCTTTGAAAGGGAGGGATGACGTCTCTGCCACAGTAGCGAAGGAAATCTTCAAAAGATGTCAGGGCAAGCGGTACAGCAATGTTTGAGTTTGCAGAGCGGGAGGTGGAGTCCTATGCTGCCGAGAGAAACTCTCCCACCAACGTAGGTGGCATCTTCACTAAGTGCTACAATGGCACCTGCAGGATTTTAAGTGTAGATGAGCCCCAATTTTAACCTCCGTTCAATAGCTGGCCTGATCTTCTGGCCCTCCGATATGTATTGGAGCTGTACTAGGCCTCGTTCTGATTTCACCTGGAGGCGAGGCAGAACTAAGCAGCCGTTCCTTCAGTGGCTGTTAGTTCATGTTGTGTTGTCACTTTGCAGTTGGGCATAATTGATCAGTTTCTATACCGGAGCGGCCCAAGACAAAAATAACTAGAGGTGTGGTAGGTGAGGCAAAATACAGAGCTGGAGGAGGGAAACTTGTGTGGTGTCTCCTCATGCAAAGTGCTCCCATTTACACTGCCACTGACTTGCAGAACTGCACAGTAAGTGTTGGAGGAGAGGGCCAGGGACTATGTGCGTGAAGCCAGGCTAGGACAACTAAGAGTGTCTGTTTATTTTTCTGCTTGAGCATTTAGATAGCTGGGTAGAACACCTACAGTATTTTCACATTCACTTTCCTACTGCGAAATAGCATGCGCAGCCGCACGATAAATGTGTGTTCCACTCTTTCGATCTCGTAGGGTTTGTGTGGGCTTGGATTTTTGTAGGTACCCGGGACCGGAGCTGGAGATGTGGTCACTTGGCATCACCCTCTATACCCTAGTATTTGGCGAGAATCCCTTCTGTGAATTAGAGGAGACCATGGAGGCTGTACTAAATCCCCCTGGTCACGTGTCAGAAGGTGAGTTTTCATGTCCTCCTGCCTTTCATTGCCAATGGAACTGACCATAGTGGAAGAGATCTGTCTAGAAAGAACTGTGGTATTGCTGGAAGCACCTGGTGCATATTCATTTCTCCAGGGTTTGCTCTCCTCTTGGGAATCCATCTCTCACATCCTGTCAGTTTATTAGACATCATTTCCCATTTGGAAAATTGCTGTGGCATGCAAACTTGTATGTTCACCTGCTTTTGAGGAAAGTACTCTTGTTCTTTACACATATGGAAGTACCTGTGTGCTACCTGCACGGGCAGCATTTGAAATGCCAGACCCTCACTCGGGGGCGTTCACGCCTTCATTCATTACTCCAGACCACCAAAGAGTTAACAACTTGAATGACCTGGAACGAATAACATACAGGTATTGAGCCTAATTTATTATGCGTTGTGGCGTCTCATACCTGCAGGTCAGAGTAACTTGGGCAGTGTCTGTGCTAGGGATTTAATGGTTAACTGTTAGGCTTGAGCTTATTGGTTACTGTAACAGTTACATGCTGCCACCCATGCATTTGCAGCGGTTACACAGTTACCTAATGAACTACTTTTGACATCCCTATCTGCGCTGCACTGTTGCTGTTAGAACTTTGGTCGGCAGAGGTATGAGGAAAACACCCCCCCCATGACAAAAGTTTTGACGATAAAACGTGCCAATGTGGACAACACTTCATCACCAGGAGAGCTCTCTGACCAAGGCAGAGCAGCCACAGTGCATGTCCTATGGCAGGGCTTAGTGGCGCAGCTGGGCCGCTGCGCAGTGTAGAGCCAGCCTAGGGCAGAGACAGAGCTGCCCCTCCAATGGTCCCAATCTTTGTATTGCTCAGATCTGATGGTTCTGCTGTCTGGACTCCTGCACCCTGCTCCAGAGCAGCGCACAACCCTGCAAAAGCTACTAGTGGACCCTTGGGTGCTGCAGCCCGTGAACCTGGCTAATTACACTTGGGAAGAGGTGTATGTCTGGGCCAGGCCAGGTAGGACACAGCTCTGAAAATGACACCCCCCCAGTAGCTTCTGAATAAGGGTTGCAGGGAGAGGTGGAAATGCGACTAGGAGCTCTGCGGAGTCTGAGCATAATGAGGAAATGACTCTTGAGATTCTTTCAGAGATGGCTGCTGTGGATAGATGGGCTTCTGCTTAGCACTTGCCAGTGACACCTAAGTGGTACAGACTAGGTACAGGCATCTTGTCAATGCAGTCTGGGCTGACATGGAGGATGTGGTGGGGGGGGGCGGGGCTGGAATCGGAGCTGCTATTAGCACAGCTCCAATGGCTAGGCCATATCAGTTGACGTTGCTTTAAGCTAAACTTCAGTGCTTGCAGAGCTTTGGCACACGCCTGCTTCCCGACTGCAGACTGAGGCTTAGTGTCTGGAGTCTGCCTCTGTGCTTGAGGCATGTGCCCGCCCATAGGAGCTGACTCTGTGGAAAAACAGCGGGTGTTCAGCTGCCACTAGCCACAGCTGGAGGGTGGCTGGGAAGGGACTTGGGGGAAGGCAGCAAATGGGTGGGGGTGTTGGGGAGGGAACAGAGCGGGAGAGGGACAGGAAGAGGCAGAGCCATGGGGGAGGGGTGGAGTGGAGGTGGGCCTTGGGGCAAAGCACCCGGAGGGAGAAGAAAAACTAAGTGCCTGTGTACATTCTGGCTGATGACCAGTGTTTATGGCTTATCGCTAAGGTCCTGTTTCACCCTGTCTTGTTCTTCCTCCCCAGAAAGCAATGACTTCGGAAATCACTGTGCTGAGCAGTCACACAGCGAGCCAGGAGAGTCAGCGGAGACCAAGCCATGATGCCTATGGCCATGAGCTCCCAGATCCCCAGTTGGAGCAAGACCCGGGGTTGGCTTATCTTCAGCGCTGAGACTGACCCGTGGAGGATGCCAGGCAATCAGCATATCGCATATTTCCCCCACTGGCTGGAGAATAGCTCCTTAGTCATCATCTGGACAACCCCTGCTGTCCACCCAAGAACTAAAAGAAGCTTCCCATTAAGCACTTCTGGTTTAAGGACAGATGAACCTTCATACGAGAAGGCGGGAGCTGCTCACCATTGAGAGAAATCTCCTCACAGGTACCCCTTTGGCTTGCTGTAGCAGCAGCTGTGATATGAAGGGGCTTGAGACTGATGTGAAAGAGCCAGTCTTTGATTTCAGGCTGATCCGTTCTTGACTCTGAAATGCAGAAGCTTTTTGCTTCCTCCAGATGGACTTTTCTGGAGCTCACTTGCAGTGAGTGGCTCCAGAGGTGCCTTTCCTCCCTTATGTTCCCCTGAGCCAACAGCGCTGCCGCTGGATGGTCTTGTGTGCCCGAGAGGTCTGTTGTGTTGATGGAACAGAATCCAGCGGTACACTTACCCAGTCTCCCCAGTATAAAACTGAGTCCTGTAAGCTCAGCCTCTCTGACACTGCAGCACGCCCCAGGAGGCTGCTGGGAAGCTGGTGCAGTGCAGGGCATGTGCTCTTCCCGGGAGCCGGTCTCGGGTTGAAAGCCTGTTTGTGTGAACTCCGCCTGGCACTGCTGTGGATGAGCCTCCCAGCGGCGGTCAGTGTGGCGTGAGAACCAGCCTGCTTTTGCTACTACGGGCTTTCCTTAGCTCATTTGCCCTGGGAATCTGGGGCCCCAATGTTTGCTGACTGAAGCTGGGGATTGAAAGAACCACCTGGTTATCATCCTCTGTCCCTTTCATGGCTGCGAGAAGCGGGATTGGATTCTGACAGAATTCACAGTGAAACATACTGTGCAAGGCCCAGTGTGGCCAGTTGTCTTTGACTGTTCTCTGTTCAATAGTGCTGTTCTGGAATAGAGGCGTGCGAGTTGTGGTCGAGGGTGCTTTTCTCTCTATACGCAAAGACGGTTGTCAAGCTTAGAAACTGGCCCCCTTGGTTTGTAGTTCTCTCATAAGCCTTGTTAGAAGAGTTTCAGAAATGCAGTTTGGTTTTTCAAGTGATCCTTGCTGCACTACAAAATCAGATCAAGCTTGACTGCTCGCTTCCCACGCTGTAATCAAGGTGGTGCGGTGCAGTGCGGTGCAGAGCAGAGATTGCATGCGTGGCTTTGTCTGTGGCCAATTGCATGGGAAGTCAGAACCTCAGTAATGTAACTCCATCAGTGGAACCTTATACTGAACTAGACTTTTTCCTAATTCTCTTCTTTTTTTGGTGGTGGTTGCTGGGCTTTTAAAAGTTTATCTAGACCAGAACTTCTGCAGCGCGACCTATCAGATTTTGGCTCCGATCTCACTCATCTCTCTTCTCCTGCCCCCCCCCCCCCCAACGCCAGTAGATAGTTGAGAGAGTATTTCAAGGGCCTGTTTTTAGTGCAGTGTGTGTGGATGTCCAGGAGATTGGGGAATTGAACACAAAAGCCCAGGGCAGTGCTAGCGTTTATGCATCTAAATATGTACTGCAGTACAGCATCCACAAATACCTAATTCCAGTGTTATGGGATTGCCTTGCTCATTGAACTCTGTATAGCTGCCGTAGATAGTTGAGAGAGTATTTCAAGGGCCTGTTTTTAGTGCAGTGTGTGTGGATGTCCAGGAGATTGGGGAATTGAACACAAAAGCCCAGGGCAGTGCTAGCGTTTATGCATCTAAATATGTACTGCAGTACAGCATCCACAAATACCTAATTCCAGTGTTATGGGATTGCCTTGCTCATTGAACTCTGTATAGCTGCCCTCACTAATGGATGCTTCATGTATGATGTGGTAGGTTTCAAGGATTCTGGACAGGTGCATCTGAGATGTGCATACAAATGAAAGGGAACCAGAGAGTCACCTCGCCGGACTTTGTTCTCCTGTAGTAAAATCTGTTTTCACTACTACAGCAGCGCCCAAAAGATTTCTTTGGGAAAATCCTGTAGCCAATGTGCGTGTCTACATTTTACAGTGTAATCTACTCAGTAGAATTAAAGTGAAAGTTTAACACCTGGTTGACTCTTTGCAATGCAGAGTATATTTGTATTTGCTGTGGCTTTTAATCAAAATTGTGCTGCATCACTGTTTCCTAGAAGTGAACAGAATAAACATTTTAGTTCTTAAAGTTTCCCTTTGGCCGTGTCTTTCGCTTTTGATTTTTGCCAGATGACTCCACTGGCTTCTCACTTGGAAGCTTTCAGCCCTTCATTTGGAGGGAGCTGAGATGTTAAATTTTAAGTTTTGGGTTTTTTTCTTCCTTCTAACAGAGAAGCTGGTTTTAAGCAAAATACAAATGTTGAAACATGCAGAATAAAAGCTACTTCCCCTCTCAGTTCAGCCATAATTCCACTTCCTAGGCTTCTAGGTCTCTAGTCATCCATAGACTGTCAGAAAAAACTGAGTGCGATAGAGCTGAATTTCTAGATTTGCCATCTCCTTTGAAGACTACCTAAAAGGTTAAAGAATTAAAAGCTCAGTCTCAGCTGTTGTTCCCTTGTCATGTGGAACTTTACTCTGAGCCCTCTGAACTGCTCAAAAATCCACAAATAAGAGGGATAAACTTGTAGCCAAAGCACAACAGTGAGGTAGGACTTCGTCAGGTTCAACCCCCTAATTAGGGAATATTCAGCTTGGCCATTCCAAAGGGGCTATGTTTAATGTGGCTACCGTGTTTTAGGGATGTGAATGGCTAACCAGTAAGCATCACCTGTTAAGGTTAACCAGGGGGAACATGCCACAGGCAGGGGTGCACCAGCCTGGCTAGAACAGCCCCAGTCCTTGGCGAGGGGCGGGGTGCTCCAGCCCCTACCCCCCCATTTAATCAGGTTAACTGGTTAAACTTAGCATGTAACTGGTTAACTCATGACACAGGAGTTTACACCCCTCCCGCGCTGAGCCCCCGGGCACGGTCACGCCCCTCCCCCGCTGGGCCCCCGGGCACGGTCACGCCCCTCCCCCGCTGAGCCCTCGGGCACGGTCACGCCCCTCCCCCGCTGAGCCCTCGGGCACGGTCACGCCCCTCCCCCGCTGAGCCCTCGGGCACGGTCACGCCCCTCCCCCGCTGAGCCCTCGGGCACGGTCACGCCCCTCCCCCGCTGAGCCCTCGGGCACGGTCACGCCCCTCCCCCGCTGAGCCCTCGGGCACGGTCACGCCCCTCCCCCGCTGAGCCCTCGGGCACGGTCACGCCCCTCCCCCGCTGAGCCCTCGGGCACGGTCACGCCCCTCCCCCGCTGAGCCCTCGGGCACGGTCACGCCCCTCCCCCGCTGAGCCCTCGGGCACGGTCACGCCCCTCCCCCGCTGAGCCCTCGGGCACGGTCACGCCCCTCCCCCGCTGAGCCCTCGGGCACGGTCACGCCCCTCCCCCGCTGAGCCCTCGGGCACGGTCACGCCCCTCCCCCGCTGAGCCCTCGGGCACGGTCACGCCCCTCCCCCGCTGAGCCCTCGGGCACGGTCACGCCCCTCCCCCGCTGAGCCCTCGGGCACGGTCACGCCCCTCCCCCGCTGAGCCCTCGGGCACGGTCACGCCCCTCCCCCGCTGAGCCCTCGGGCACGGTCACGCCCCTCCCCCGCTGAGCCCTCGGGCACGGTCACGCCCCTCCCCCGCTGAGCCCTCGGGCACGGTCACGCCCCTCCCCCGCTGAGCCCTCGGGCACGGTCACGCCCCTCCCCCGCTGAGCCCTCGGGCACGGTCACGCCCCTCCCCCGCTGAGCCCTCGGGCACGGTCACGCCCCTCCCCCGCTGAGCCCTCGGGCACGGTCACGCCCCTCCCCCGCTGAGCCCTCGGGCACGGTCACGCCCCTCCCCCGCTGAGCCCTCGGGCACGGTCACGCCCCTCCCCCGCTGAGCCCTCGGGCACGGTCACGCCCCTCCCCCGCTGAGCCCTCGGGCACGGTCACGCCCCTCCCCCGCTGAGCCCTCGGGCACGGTCACGCCCCTCCCCCGCTGAGCCCTCGGGCACGGTCACGCCCCTCCCCCGCTGAGCCCTCGGGCACGGTCACGCCCCTCCCCCGCTGAGCCCTCGGGCACGGTCACGCCCCTCCCCCGCTGAGCCCTCGGGCACGGTCACGCCCCTCCCCCGCTGAGCCCTCGGGCACGGTCACGCCCCTCCCCCGCTGAGCCCTCGGGCACGGTCACGCCCCTCCCCCGCTGAGCCCTCGGGCACGGTCACGCCCCTCCCCCGCTGAGCCCTCGGGCACGGTCACGCCCCTCCCCCGCTGAGCCCTCGGGCACGGTCACGCCCCTCCCCCGCTGAGCCCTCGGGCACGGTCACGCCCCTCCCCCGCTGAGCCCTCGGGCACGGTCACGCCCCTCCCCCGCTGAGCCCTCGGGCACGGTCACGCCCCTCCCCCGCTGAGCCCTCGGGCACGGTCACGCCCCTCCCCCGCTGAGCCCTCGGGCACGGTCACGCCCCTCCCCCGCTGAGCCCTCGGGCACGGTCACGCCCCTCCCCCGCTGAGCCCTCGGGCACGGTCACGCCCCTCCCCCGCTGAGCCCTCGGGCACGGTCACGCCCCTCCCCCGCTGAGCCCTCGGGCACGGTCACGCCCCTCCCCCGCTGAGCCCTCGGGCACGGTCACGCCCCTCCCCCGCTGAGCCCTCGGGCACGGTCACGCCCCTCCCCCGCTGAGCCCTCGGGCACGGTCACGCCCCTCCCCCGCTGAGCCCTCGGGCACGGTCACGCCCCTCCCCCGCTGAGCCCTCGGGCACGGTCACGCCCCTCCCCCGCTGAGCCCTCGGGCACGGTCACGCCCCTCCCCCGCTGAGCCCTCGGGCACGGTCACGCCCCTCCCCCGCTGAGCCCTCGGGCACGGTCACGCCCCTCCCCCGCTGAGCCCTCGGGCACGGTCACGCCCCTCCCCCGCTGAGCCCTCGGGCACGGTCACGCCCCTCCCCCGCTGAGCCCTCGGGCACGGTCACGCCCCTCCCCCGCTGAGCCCTCGGGCACGGTCACGCCCCTCCCCCGCTGAGCCCTCGGGCACGGTCACGCCCCTCCCCCGCTGAGCCCTCGGGCACGGTCACGCCCCTCCCCCGCTGAGCCCTCGGGCACGGTCACGCCCCTCCCCCGCTGAGCCCTCGGGCACGGTCACGCCCCTCCCCCGCTGAGCCCTCGGGCACGGTCACGCCCCTCCCCCGCTGAGCCCTCGGGCACGGTCACGCCCCTCCCCCGCTGAGCCCTCGGGCACGGTCACGCCCCTCCCCCGCTGAGCCCTCGGGCACGGTCACGCCCCTCCCCCGCTGAGCCCTCGGGCACGGTCACGCCCCTCCCCCGCTGAGCCCTCGGGCACGGTCACGCCCCTCCCCCGCTGAGCCCTCGGGCACGGTCACGCCCCTCCCCCGCTGAGCCCTCGGGCACGGTCACGCCCCTCCCCCGCTGAGCCCTCGGGCACGGTCACGCCCCTCCCCCGCTGAGCCCTCGGGCACGGTCACGCCCCTCCCCCGCTGAGCCCTCGGGCACGGTCACGCCCCTCCCCCGCTGAGCCCTCGGGCACGGTCACGCCCCTCCCCCGCTGAGCCCTCGGGCACGGTCACGCCCCTCCCCCGCTGAGCCCTCGGGCACGGTCACGCCCCTCCCCCGCTGAGCCCTCGGGCACGGTCACGCCCCTCCCCCGCTGAGCCCTCGGGCACGGTCACGCCCCTCCCCCGCTGAGCCCTCGGGCACGGTCACGCCCCTCCCCCGCTGAGCCCTCGGGCACGGTCACGCCCCTCCCCCGCTGAGCCCTCGGGCACGGTCACGCCCCTCCCCCGCTGAGCCCTCGGGCACGGTCACGCCCCTCCCCCGCTGAGCCCTCGGGCACGGTCACGCCCCTCCCCCGCTGAGCCCTCGGGCACGGTCACGCCCCTCCCCCGCTGAGCCCTCGGGCACGGTCACGCCCCTCCCCCGCTGAGCCCTCGGGCACGGTCACGCCCCTCCCCCGCTGAGCCCTCGGGCACGGTCACGCCCCTCCCCCGCTGAGCCCTCGGGCACGGTCACGCCCCTCCCCCGCTGAGCCCTCGGGCACGGTCACGCCCCTCCCCCGCTGAGCCCTCGGGCACGGTCACGCCCCTCCCCCGCTGAGCCCTCGGGCACGGTCACGCCCCTCCCCCGCTGAGCCCTCGGGCACGGTCACGCCCCTCCCCCGCTGAGCCCTCGGGCACGGTCACGCCCCTCCCCCGCTGAGCCCTCGGGCACGGTCACGCCCCTCCCCCGCTGAGCCCTCGGGCACGGTCACGCCCCTCCCCCGCTGAGCCCTCGGGCACGGTCACGCCCCTCCCCCGCTGAGCCCTCGGGCACGGTCACGCCCTTCCCCCGCTGGGCCCCCGGGCACGGGCCAGGCCGGACTGAGCGGGGGGGGGGGGGGGCCAAGGGTGGGTCACTGGGAAGGAACCTGGCTTGTGCACTGTGTGGCGGGCAGGACCCAGCGCCCCCGTCGGGGTCCCTGCGCGCCGCCCTGGCCTGTGGGTCTGTCCCACAGCTCCTGAGGGCCGTGGGTCCCTGCTCTGCACTCCGAGTGCACCCGCTTCTGCTGGCCCTTGGCTGCTGAGTCCTTCCAATGGGCAGCCTGGTCTGGCGCCGATTCGCCAGGCTCCGCTGGTGGAGCGGACGGGGGCAGGGATGGAGGCTGGATCCCAGGATGCTCCGGGAGAACTGGGTTCTGTTCCTGCCTCTGCCACGGTTTGCGTGTGATGCTGGGCGAGTCATTTGCGTGAAGCTTTTCTCTCAAGTTCTTCGTTTTCTGCCTGCCGAGCTAGAGCTCCATGGGGTCCAATTTGCAGAGGTGCAGGGTCAGGATGTTAGTTAGGTTATTTTAGTAATCGAGTAGTCGATCGAATTTTTATCGATTCCTCGATAGGGGACAGCAGCCTGGCTCAGGCCCTGCTTGCGCTGGGTGCGGGGCCAAACCGCGCTGTGGCTCTGCAATTTAAAATGCAATAGGAGCTGGCAGGGGAGAGGGAGCAAGCTGCCCAGCTCCTTCTGCCCTTTAAATTGCAGCGCTGCAGTGGGGTTTGGTCCCAGCACGAGCCAGGCTGCCTGCCCAGCCAGCAGCAAGCCCTGTCTGCAGGGGTCCCAGTTGCCGCTGGGACCCCCTGTGGATGGAGTGCTGCCAAAGCAGCCTGCTCCCTCCCCCCAACCCCACCACGGCTGCCTCCCCTAAGCCGTCACCCCCTAGCACTGACTCCTGCTGCCTCCCCTCCTGCCTCTGGTACAGAGGCAGCAAGGGTGGGAGGGAATGCGGGTAGTTGACTAATCGACTATTCTTATACATCCCTAATGCGGGCACTTGCTGCTACAGCTGGTCAGTGGGAGCTGCACTTTGAATGTAGACCGGGGATTTCTAATGAGCAAATGCTGATCGGACAGTCAGCGCACCAGTCGCCTAGTCACTCCCCCCTTGCTGCCTCTGTCAGAAAGAGGAGGGGGTGCTTCAAAGTGGCATTGCCGCGTGGAGCCTGGGGACTGCTGCTCTGAAACGCCGCATGCAGCTTGGGGTCAGCTGGGGACTCCCCCACTGACCCTGGCTCCACACACACTGCCGCTTTGAAACGCCATGTGGAGCCTGACACCAGGCTCCCTGCGGCACTGCCGCTTTGAAACGCCATGTGGAGCCTGACACCAGGCTCCCTGCGGCACTGCCGCTTTGAAAGGCCGCGGGGAGCCCAGGACCGCTTGAGTGCGCCGCTGGCCCCGTGCTCCCTGCAGCACTTTTGTCTTTGAAGTGTCTTTGAAGGCAGAGGTGCCCAATTGAATAGGCAGTTTGCATCGACTGTTCAATTAGCCAATTAATCCAAATGTAACACCCCTAACGTAGACTGCTATGTAGCGCCAATAAAATCGGTTCCAGCTGCCTCAAGCTGGTCAGCAAGCACCCTCCTTCATGTGCACTGAATGAAGGAGCCCTGTGCAAAAAATAGCCTGTGCTCATGGAAATAGAGACTTTGGTGATGTGCAGGGCTTGACAAATAATGCAGTCGACTCACCCGTGGCGCGTAGATTGCAACCCGGAATAGCCGGGTTCCGGTGATCTGCGCATGCACAGAACGATCTGCACACGTGCAGATCGCCGGACAGCGCGGCTGGCGAGCGGGACTCGCAGGGCCAAATGAAAGTTGCAGGGGCAGCCTCAGTCCAGGCATTTCCTAATTTGAGGGTTTGACGCTGCAACCCGAGCATGTTTGTTTTCTTGTGTTAATGTGGTGATCTAGAATCTAGAGTTTACTGGAGCAGGTTCAGCCATCGTAACTGTTGGACTTCTGCCCTACTAGGGCTTCTGTTTGCATAAACTAGATAGCAGACCTCAGACAGACCGTGTTTTGTTTTGACTTGGATACTTCCTGGGAGGTAAAATAATGAAAAACAAATGACAGGAGGTTCATTTTCCCTTTAGTTTGTTGTGTTAAACAAAAGCAGCTTTGTATTTTTCACCGGGGCACTTTGGAGACTGTTCTGTAGGAAATACTGCTGGAAAAGTGAGTGTTTCTTCCATTGCTGCTCCCATCAACATCCCAGATTTGGGAAGAATTATTTAACTTGGGTTTTTTTCTCTTTTTTATTGAAAACACAAAATGAAATCAGTTACAAGATCTTTGGGGCACCCCAGACCAGTGGAAGGAATGAAAATCTGAGCTGTTGCAGTCACTCTTTCAGGCAAGCAAGCAGCCAGTGAGCGAGTGCTGTGTGTCGTCCTAGGGGGAGAGTTGGGTTAATGTCCATTACTGAGTTTCATCTTGCACCGTGCAGGAGGACGGACTCTAAGATTTGGAAGCTCTCTCCTCTT